AACAGTCGTTGAGAACCTACTTTAAAACGAAGATTGATGAGGCACAGGTTCGCTTGAAGTGTCTTCCAATGTCGGTGTCTCAAATACGGTTCTGTTTAGCAAAGAGTACTTGAGAAGAATCAGAATGTTCTTCGTCTGCAGGCACAACGAAATGAGCTAAATTCCAAGGTAAGAGGTAGTCATTGACATAGAAGCTCAGAGCGCATTTTCGTTATTGACTTATAGAGATTCATTTGTATTTTTCCCTTATTTGATTAATAAACTAGGCAGTCTAAAGATAAGGAACTCAAGCTTCACTTGAAGAGAATCATCTTAACAATCTTTCAGAAATCAGTCATGACAAGATTTGAGATTGAGTTTGAAAGCGAATGGAAATAAAACCTCTTGGTCGTTTTCTACATGAAAATCATAGATTTCATCTTAAATTATGACCTTGTGATGAAGTGTTTTGATGAAAATTTATAATTTGTGCTTTTACAACGAACATGGAATCATGGCTTCTATCTAGACTTACTTTTTGATCTTTTTGTTTTGATTTTGAGTTTGTATAATGGTCTACGGGCAAATGTTTTTGACTTTTGACGGTGTCTTGCTAAGTGCAGGTAAATGTTTTACATACCATTTAGGTACGTATGCTCAAGGAAGAGCTCCAGCAGCTTCACGAGCAAGGCAGTTATGTCGGGGAAGTAAGCAAGGCTATGGACAAAAAGAAAGTTCTTGTCAAGGTATGTAGCTTGTGTTTGTACATAGATTGTTCTTCTGATTCTGCTATGTTTAAGGTTCATCCGGAAGGAAAATATGTGGTGGATGTCGATAAGGGTATCGATGTTGCAACAATCAACGCTGGCTGTCGTGTAGCACTGCGAGCTGATAGTTATGCTCTACATAAAATTTTACCAAACAAGGTGACTTGGATGTTTCCAACACATTTTTCGTCGTTTGTGTACGCAGGAAGTTCCAGCGTCTATCCTGATTTCCAGGTTGACCCTCTCGTATCTCTCATGATGGTTGAAAAAGTGCCGGATTCAACGTACGAAATGATTGGAGGTCTAGACAAACAGATCAAGGAAATTAAGGAAGTATGTGATGTTTGAACGTGAAATTTTGCTTGTTTCTGCATATTCAAGTCCTTTTAGGTCATTGAGCTACCAGTGAAACACCCGGAGCTGTTCGAAGCTCTCGGTATTGCGCAACCCAAAGGAGTACTTTTGTATGGACCACCAGGAACTGGAAAGACGTTGTTGGCCAGAGCTGTAGCACATCATACCGAATGCACCTTCATCCGTGTATCTGGTTCAGAACTCGTGCAGAAATTTATTGGAGAAGGAGCGAGAATGGTAGGCTTGAGGCACTTGATTTTGATTTACTTTCATGTGCTTTTTGGAGTATCGTAGTAGGGGATTTCTAGAAAGTTTCCATTGAAGGCGACTTCCCTTTCCACAATTCACATTCTTAACCTCTGAGCGTTATTTTGAGGTTCGCGAACTGTTCGTGATGGCGAGGGAACACGCTCCTTCAATTATTTTCATGGACGAAATTGATTCCATCGGATCTAGTCGTGTAGAGGGATCGAGGT